GTGTGCGCACAACTCGGTGCCGCTTCATGGGCGCGTAACTTGCAGAGGGGATGGGGCTCCCCTCTGAGCTCTGGGGAGAGGTACGGTCTGGCCCTCACGCCTGTGGCTGGAATGGGAAAGCTGGGGGGTGGGGAGAGGCATCTCCAGGAAGTCTCAGTCCTGTTCGGACTCTTGATGGAGGCGCGGGGGAAGGTTGTCAAACAGCTGAAGCTTAAATTAAAATGACACACTCAGCTCGAAATCTGGTTGCACTAAAACGGGTGATAGCTCCCAACTGATGTTCTGCCTGTCCCTGGAAAATTCCTCAGTATTGTGCTGTTAAAAACTGAGCTGCTGCTTCTTCCCCTCCCCCTTAACCATCCCTATGATGGAAACTGACAGATGTATTTGACAGTACTTGCTCCATGCCTAACCGGCTCTGATCGTTCAGCTACAATATTAGCTCTTGTAATAAAGCAAGTATCTCTCAGAAGTGTGGCTGACAAAATACAGTCAATGCCTTTCAAATGCTAAAGGGATGCTGTCCTCTCAGTGCATCTATTAATCTTTCTTAATAACCTTTTTTCATCACAAGAACTTACAATGCCTTTCGAATGCTAAAGGGATGCTGTCCTCTCAGCGCATCTATTAATCTTTCCTAATAACCTTTTTTCATCACAAGAACTTTCTTGGATGATCTGTCCTCACTGATGGCCCAGGCCAAGAGACGTGGATAGAGGAAGTCAGGTTTGCGTTCAGATTCTTAGTACTACTATGTGTGACAGGGGTCCTTTTTTTTTTTTTTCAAGATGCCTCCTCAATATGCTATTAAAAACTCCAGAGCTGCGGGGCGGGAGGCTCGGGATGGGGGGGAGGTTGGGCATAGGGATAGTTTGACTTCTATTTTAGTGGGTGGGGGCCAATGTGGCTTAAGAAAATGCTACATGGCAGGGTCTGGGGGAAGTGCTACCTACTTCCTTGACAACTCAGCAAGCCACCCAGCCTGCCTGGGTTTGGGGGAGGGCACACAACTAAAAGTTACAACTCCAAAAGTGGACTTGGCTCAGTTTTAAAACCAAGAGATAGCTGAGGGCTGTGTACAGAGAGCTGAGGGTGCAGGGAGGGAATAGCTGGGTCTCTGTGGACAGGGAGGTAGCTCTGGGTTCAGGGAGGAGGTGTTTAAGGACTGTATTTGGGCAGGGGATTGGGGTACAGGGAGAGGGGTACTAGGAGCTGTGAGGGCTACCTGAGGTACTTGTTCTTGGAAAGGTCTTCCAGTCATGAAGTCTGGTGTCCCCACCCAGGAAGCTTTTACCAGCTGCCTTTGCAAGTGAAAATGGGGCTTGGAGCTGAGGAGCAGTTTGAACTTGGGGCACCAGCAGGAGACAAAGAAATGCTGCCATTGCCTGCCCCATCACAGCAGCCAGAGCAGCAGCTGACCAGCTCTGGCTCTGCTCCTCTGACCTGGTGGGACGGGGGGAAGCTGCCCCTGAGACTTATGCTCTTGCACAGTGTATGTGTGGGGAGGGGAATACCCTCTGTTTTCCAACTCTGTCCATGGGCTCAGGTCTTCGGCCTCACAGGGAGCACCAGGGCTAGGGCTTCAGCCACAGCTCCTAATTTCAGCTTTGTTAGGACTCGGGCTCTGGGTTTTAGTCACAGGATCTTACATCCTCCTTGGAAGGGCTTGTAGACTCAATGAACTAGTTGAGAACTGCTGATATATGGATTTAATGCACTCCTTAGTAAATAGTATTCAGACACATTTCTTTGCATTTTTCCAACTGCTCATACAGATATGGTTGTTGATTATACATAGGTTCTAATGAACCTTCTATCTGCAGAATTTAAACTTGCTAATCTCTCAAACTCAGTGGTGGAGTCTGCTTCCATTCTAGGCAGTTTCCTTTTGAGAGAGAGAGAGAGAGGAGTACAAAGGGCATGTATAGTCTTGTAAATATAATGCCTCAGGCCTCTGAGAGGAGGGCTGATGCACAGAAGGTGTTGGGCCAGTCACAATTGCTTAGCAACAGATCAACCCCCGGATAGCTCTACACCTGCTAAGACAGCCTTTTTGGAGTTAAAAGTTCTATGTTCAGGCAAGTAAAGCTTGTGTCCATAGGCCAGTAGTGGTGGTGTGATTTCTTTCTCTCCCCCCCCCCTTCCCCCTCCCCCCGTCAAGAACCTTTTTTCTCGTGATCCAGGTGAAGAAAATTGTCGATGCCTGTGACCCAACATAATTGTACCTTTTGATTAGAGTGC